AATATTTCCTGCACGGAATAATATACCTATTACGCATTTGCCTCATGTAATAGTGTCAAGTTTTATCCTTTCTTTTCCTCCCTCTCTTTATTTGTGAAAAACAAATTAGGTGTTCGTTTATATTTAGTAGTAATATGAATGCACATAATTCAGTTTTTATGCAGAAATTGTGATCTGAGCATTGTCATCAGATACACATATTTACATACATCCACACACCTTTTAATGTATATAGCCTTATGATATATGGAAATCTATAAACTAGAATGGAGTTTATTATGTATAAACTGTCTCTATCTTTAGGGCTTTTATTCTTTTTAATGATGCTAATCCAATATTTTTGGATTAAACTCCATTTAACTAAAATAAACTAATTTCTAGACTAGACAGATAGAACATTGCACTCTTAATTAAAAGCAGAGTTCTGTCTTCTTGGATCTAAAAAATCCAAGAAACTATATTCCCTGTAAGGTCTATTGCGAGAGAAACACCGAATTGCACTTCACCACAAAAAGAACATAAAACTTAACAATAGTAATTGTACAAAGTATTTTACAGCTCAAAAAAAAAAAGGAAAGAAAATATAGCATTAAAAAAGGAAAAACATCTCATATATTCAATAAGAAATTAAATTACACTGAATCCAGGCAGGCTTACATCCAGGGAAGATACCACTATCATGGCTAAAATGTTTGAATATCAGAGCATAATTATTAATTGGTAAGGGGAAAAAACATTTGATAGACCTCCTTTAGCCTTTTAAAAGGCTATTGGTCTTAATAACTACATGCAAATTACTATTTTGCTTTCTTTCAGAATAAAGGAAATATTAACTGAAGAGCAATCAATAGATTCAAAGTTACTCTGCTATCACTAACTTCCACTGATTTGTGCAGCTTCTGGTTCACAAAAGAAGAGGAAGGGGAAAAAGAAAGAGAAAGCTGGCTATTCCAAATTAAATGGTATTATTTGTTTCTATTGCTTTGCTCATTAATGATGGGGGATAGCTAGCAAATACGCTGGTGCCCCAATGAAATGGTTCATTGTGCCTATTGACAGCAAAAATGCTCCATTACTTCACAAAATGCCCAGATAACACATTTTCTCCCATTAAAATCATTATGAAATTCCAGTTAATTAAAAAAAAAAGCATGTCAATACATCTACCGCAATTTTGAAGATACTTAAACACAAAGAAAATGTTGTCTTTTGTTTGTTTTCAGGTCTTGTTGTTTTGTAATAAGGATGCATTTTAATTGCATTATTAATTGAAGGCAAAGCAACGTATTTATCTGATCTAGTAACACTAGATTAGACAAGTGGATTAAAAACAACTTGCAAGAGAGTTTCCTACATACAGCTATCATGCTGGTTTTGTATCATTAAAATGGCTCCTAAACAAGCAGATTAGCTGATTAATTGATGATTAAGACTGCAGGAAGATCAGTCATTACATGGAGAAACTCCTTGCATGCACACACAGAGCTAACTAATTGACAGCTACACATGATTTGGAACAACCAGCCTCCGAAACCATTATTGTAAAAGTAGATATAAATACTTGCCGCAGCCTTCCTATTTCCCCCCACCCCTCAATCCCACACACACCCCTTCCCCAACATGTTTTAGACGCAAGCGTTAACTGCTTCTTTTAAGTTCAAGTTGGGCTGTCTAGAATCTGCATGGTTACACGTGCGTGCGTGCGAGAGGGTGGAAGAAGATACTTCCAAGCAGTAGGACTACATATAAAAGTCAGCATCTGAGCATAAAGATAACATTGCTGCTTCTTCATGAAGTTCATAGAATATATACCCTGTCATAAATTGAGCTTCCATACCAAATGTCTGCTGTTTGAAAGAACTTGGAGAAAAGTTCCTTGGTTGTATTGATCTGATGACTGAGGGTTCACAGCTACCGTTTTTTATGTCCTGCTAAGTCTACCTGAACAGTCCTGAAGCCATTGCTTATTATCCAGAGGTAAACACCAATTTGTCTGCTGTAAAACTGATACAAATCCCACTCTTATTCCAATAGAACTCTATTGTCATATAATCGCTTTGGTGGAGGGTGGAGAAGGGGGAGGAGTGATGACTGTCCACATAAGATTACACAGCAGTCACTTTTTGTCATGAAAGATCATACAATAAATATTCCTACCGCACTGCCTATAAAGCAGACATAATTCACTAATAAATATCAATATTGAGAGTTCCTATTAGGGTTTGTACAACTCAGCAATGGAGACTACAACAATCCTTATTCCGCAGTTACCAAAAAAAAGGGGGTAAAAGAAAGGTCTCCAGAATAAATCTATTTCAAGGAACTTTTCAAGAGATTTTTTTTTGTCTTGCAAAGAAAACCAACAACTTTTCTGGAAGTTCACTTCCCATATAGTTTTGAAAATAATGTTATGTCCAGAGTTAAAACAATAACAAAGGGATTCCTGATCTGAATAACCTGTAATGAAGCTTCCTACCTATAGTAAGAATTCCCTTGTGCATTTATCAATGAGATACTATACAAAGGGGTCTTTAACAGGCTGTCTGATTTGGTACAAAGCAGTGACAACATTTCCTGGCAAGCTCAACTGACTAGAGAAGATTTATCAGAAGTCAGAAATCTTCTATCTAAACCTTGCCATCCACACCTGGAAAGCACCTTAAAGATGATTACTGATGTTATTAAAAACAATAGAAAAAAATTGGGGCCATTAACAAATTAAAACAACAGATGCAATAAATTTTTACTCTAAAAATATAACGGGGAATAGTAGATGCATCTTTATCTTAAGAAGCTAAATATCACAACTGTAAGAAGAGGATGTGCTAGTTATTTTTTTAAGGGGGAAAAATCCATTTTGCTACAGCTTTCCCTGCACTTGGATACATTTTTTTTAAGCCAAGAAAGGGGGAACATTTCCCCCTTTCTTGGGGTAGCTTTCCCAACTTTTTCCTCCCACAATATATTGTGACAAGTGGCTGTTTGATAGATGTTCTCCTTGATAAACGACTTGTTCAAAAGAGACACAGTAGCTTTCATTTCCTGACCAGAACACACTTTTAATTTGCACCAGCAGAATTGCTGGAGTGTGACTGGCTCTCGATTCTGGATGTTTTGCCTCTGACAGGCCCCCACCCTCCACGAAACAAAAATAAGCATGGGGCACATCTGCAGACAATGATCACCACCACACATTTGGTTGAGTCGTTATAATCGAGATACAGAAGAGATTACATTTGTTAGCTCTCGTGGACTCTCTTCTCCACCCCACCCCCGGCCCCCAGGACGGGTGCAATTTCTCAACCACTCTGCAAGTTAAGCTATTCTACTAGGAAACTGAGAAGCAGAGATGTGGCTGGGGTGAAAAGCATGCACGTGGAGGAGGGGGGGTAGAAGGAAGTACACATGTGCCGTACAATATATACAAAACTGGGGAGGCCAGGCATGATTACTACCTATTACTACTGTTAGAATCATCTTCCTCATCCTCCTTCTCCAAGGAACTGCATTTAAACAGTGGCAACGATTCACCCCATCCAATTTCAGCTCTCAGCATACTATCCAATTCCCGATTTAAAATTTATAAATGTAATACCCTCATCACAAGCAGCAGGTCCAATCTGCTGTGAATATATATTACAGCTTTAACATCACAGAGGGAAATCTCCCATCTGGCAATCACATTCTCTCCAACAGCTCTAGGAAAGGGGGGGGGGTGTATATGAGAGAAAGAGAGAGAGAAAGCTGTGTGTTTCTGCTCTCCCCTCTCTCACTCCCCTCCCATTTAAAATGAGTCAGGGTTGATTATTTGCATCTAAAATAAACCCTGCTGTATTGATCATCTCAAAGTCAACAAGTTCCAAATGATAGATAGATAGATAGATAGATAGATAGATAGATAGATAGATAGATACTTTCCATTGTGATAGCAGTTCTGTTTTACTCTGCTGGAAATATAGAGAAACCTTAATTATCCGCTTATGGGCACGGCCGACTGGGCAACTACTTCTGAACTGAATGCAGAGCTCAGGGTTGTGCCGTTATGAAAAATCAATGGCCAACTCTGTCCATGCTCCAGCCAACAGCCCGACCGATGCCCATGAGTTTCTACCCTAATCCTTATTTGTTTCTAATTTAAAAGCAGATACATTCTTGGCCTTTCCCCCTTGGCACAAATTCCCAAACTTATAAACAAAATACTAATCTGCTGATATGGTTTCCTGGGCTTCTACTAATGGCCTTGTATACATTGCATTGGGCAGGTATATTCCAATTCTGTTTCATCAGGCATGCCTATCATGACCCTTAAAAAAAAAATACAGTATCTCCTCTTAGAATAATTGTTCAAGTCTCCTATAACATCTGATGGTTGTTCCATTTGCACAGCACAGCAATGACAAGCCGCCAGATGAAAAACAGGATAGAAAATATACAGGCCGTTATTAAACTGGAAGACTGAAGGAGGGGGGTGTTTGCAGGAAACAGAGGCATTTATTAGAACATCCCTAGAAAGGATTTTATTATCCTCATCTAAAACCCAGTGGAAAAAAATGGAAAAGGGGGAGACCTCAATTGAAAAAATAATAACTACACTTGAAAAATAAACAGGAAACCATAGCGGTATAGGAAGGCTTAGCTGTGTGCGTGGTCTCTCCTCCCTCCTCCTTTTACAGTGAGCAAGTTGACTAATTTACATCCTATTTGAGTGTACATGGTGCCCTGCTAGTAACATGCAACTTTAGCTTTATGACAGAACAAAAGTAACAGTCTGTTCAAAGCAGAAAATTAGAAATAAAATAAGGCAGTGGACACCCACATATCCACACACATCTTATTTATATACCTAAAGCTTTATCGTTAACCTTGTTACAGGGATCTTCAGCGACATGCAAAGTCCTCTGAAATGTTCATCATGCTCTTTTAAAAACAAAAGGAACACTGTCCGTACAACAACAACAACAACAACAACAAAAGTAAATGAGATTCCCAAACAGACCTACCATAAACACTGGTGCTACTGATCATTTCTTGCTGGCAGCACAAAAAAGCTGAATTGGAATTTTTTTTTTTTCCTTTCCTCCTCTCCTTCTCACAAGCAGGAATTCCAAAGGTTGTTTTTCATGAATGCCACTTTTCCTCTCCGCTATCAAATGTCACTGCCTTGAAATGTGGGCCTTTTCGTCAGGTATTCATTTAACCTACATGCATATAATTAAGAGGGAAAGCAACATCAACAAAAAGGGAATCTCAGATCAGAGGAGAAGAAAGAAAAGGGGGGGGAGAGAGAGAGAGAGAGACAGAGAGAGAGCACATGACCAGCAATACAAGTCCATGTCAATTTCACTCACTCCCATTGAAACTAACAAGAGCTCCAGGGAAGGTAGTAATAGGATCAGTGGGTTGTATATAGCAGTAAATTATACATCTTCCTCTCAGTTCCAAGCCAACAATACGCCCACCGTGCCATGCCCCCCTCCCAATGATGAGGTGTTTAAATTTTTCTGCACCAGCTTCTCAGATACATTCACACGCACCCCTCACCCTTAACTTTCCCCCATCCTTATTTGCACGGATTTGCTTAAAAGTTAGTTCCTCCAAAATTGCATTTAAGCCGCCACACGTAACCGCTTCGCCTAGAACTTGAAAAATAAATAGAGGCGCCCCCCCCACACCCTTTAAGTGAAAGTGGCTTAATTAGGAGGGGAGCGCAATCAATCTCTCAATCCCCGAATTCTTACTCTCTCTCTCTCCGCACTATTGTTAGCAACGATCAGGGGAAAGCCCTACGCTGCGATTGTATCGCTTTACTTTCCACATCGCGCTTTAAAACAAGGAGAATTCTGAGGGGGGGGGAGAGAGAGCAGACGAGAGAATAAACCCAGACTTGGCGATTTGCGATATATCTATATCTAAAAGCACACATTTTTTATAATAAAAGCTCGGGGAATTTAGAGCGTCCGCGCGCCCGCTCGGGATACATTTAAAATTGTATAAAAAAAAAAAAATTAAAGAGAACGGGCGGAGGAAAAGAAGAAGGGAGAGAAAGGGAAACGAGTCAGAGAAGAGCTTACCTGGAGGGTCGGGCACAATCGATTCTTACGGCGCGCTGATGAATTGGGGCTCGGGTTAAGCGAAGATGCCTCCGATTTGAAATCATTCCAAGTTTTTGAAGGGAAGACTGACTGCAGCCTCTGCCATGTTGGAATTTCAAACCCAAAACAGCTGCTTTGCAAAGAGCCACCATGCCAGCAGCTGAACGCCTGCGCAGAGCGCCGCCGAGCCAAATTCAAATCACTTTCACACTAAAGAGCCAAAGATCAGTTTGCAAAAAAAAAAAAAAAAAAAAGGAGGAGGAGGAGGAGGAGGAGGAGGGGGTTGGAGGAAGAAAAAAAAAAGACAGAGAGAGAGAGAGAGAGGAGAGAGAGAGAGGGACGCACCAGATTCAGGAGCAAAAGAGGCTCTCAATGGCCGCGCTGCCGCTGTTGCCTCCGCGCCGCCACCGCCGCCGCGCAAGGCCCCTGGCTGCACAGGTCAGGTTACATGGTAGGGGCTGTCGCTTGCAAGAAAACATGCAAACACCGCCTGGAGGTGGCCGGGAGGTCATGGTAGAGCAGCCAGGAAGCTCGCCCTCCCTTTCTGCGGCTCCAAGAGGGCAACCGGCAACTGAGGGAGTCGGGATCCCCGCTCCCAGCTTCGCCTCCGGCTCCTGCAGCGACAGAGAGACTTCGCGGAGCTCTGGCGGCTTCCCTGCCGCCGGGGTAGCTCCATATCCCCAGTCCCATCCCCCCCCCAACCCACCTCCCGCGCCAGAGAAGCACAAGCGACGGCGAGCCAAGCGAGCGCCTCTGGCTTCCCCTCCCCCCCCCCAAACCCCTTTGCGAGAAGCGGGAGCGGCAGCAGCGGCGCCTTCGCTCCAGCCCCTACCGCGTCTCGGAAGCACGGACGGCTCTGCACATCCCCAGCTCTCTCCTTGGGACTCACTTCGAGAGACTTTGGGAGGCCGGGAGGAGCCGTAGAACCGGGACGGCAAGGGGAGGGGAGCGAGAGCGCGAACTTGAGAGAGAGAGAGAGAGAGAGAGAGGCTCGCGGGCAGCCCAAGCCCGGGACTTGCCCGCCGGTGTGCGCGGGAGGAAAGTCACACGGTCTACACTCCTTCCACGGGGAGGACGGGGTGTGTGTGTGTGTGGGGGGGTGATGTCTTTCGAACACAGGTAAGGGAAGGTGTGGAGAAGGGAATGGCAAACCTGGACGTAGATTAGCGAGCGGTAGGGAGGACGAGGCGAAGTGTGAATAAACGCGTTCTAGTCGCTTGCTTTTCTCGGCTACGTTTCATTTGCGCGCGCCGTGTATATGTATATAAATATATATATATATATATTTCTCTCAGCCAGGTTTATATATATTCCTTGTCGCGCCGCTCGTTTTCTGGACACGGATTGACTTTTTAACGGCACCATCCTAAACGCATCCCCACCCCACCCCACTCCCTTTTATATCTAAAAAGAAAAAAGAAAGAAAGCCTATTTTCCCCCTCTAAACATAAAAAAAAAAAAAGTTGACCTCTTCCTTAGAACCAAGCCTTAAGGAATTCACCACGGCTTTATTTTTGGGCGAGCATGCCTACATCCCCCTCCACCCCTCATGAAACTCTGAGGGCCTCTCTTTTAAACGATCCTTTTTAAGAACTTGATACAGATTTCCTTGCAGGGGGAAAAAAAAAAAGCCTCTGGTGGCATCTGAAGATTAGCATTAATTATGGCGTGCGCTTTCGAGGAATTTCATCTGATCCACCAATTATCCTAATTTACAGGTGTATATAGTTAATTGTTACTCTCCGCATTTCATTTCCCTTCCGATCTCACTATTTGCATTTCCCATCCCAAACCGTATATGTATAACTTGACCTGTAACTCGGGATAACATTTCAGGCATGTGAGGAATTCAGATACACAAAAGCTTATGCCACAATAAATCGTTTAGTCTTCCAGATATCTGTAAGATAGACCTCCCTGGCGAATGTCATAGATCTCCAGCACATGAAACCACTTGGAAGAACTCGGTATGTGAGAAGGTGAAGCCCAAACGCATTTACCAAATAGCAGGTCCCATTCTGTGTTTTAAGTGCCTCTTAGTAAATATATTGTGAGCGTATGGTGTGAGTCTGCCCTCAATAGGGTTGTTTAGAAGTAAATCCCTGTCGTTTTAGTAGAACTTGCATCTCCAGAAACATCCAAAGCTTTAGGCTGTATCTCAATGGTACCTATTGGTTGGTGCACATCACAAAAGCCACTGATTATTCTAATAATGTCTTATTGAATAAAACCACATTAACTAGGTACACACAATATGCTCATCCTTCATCTATGGTTTGCAAACACAATACTAAACAAATATTCAGATATAAACAATGTATGAACCTGACAATTTTTCCCTTAGTATAGATCACTATTCCTGTCTAAAATGGGATCTATCTTTGAGTCAAATAGTATTCTCTCATCTTGTATAAATAAGTATTAACCTACAGATTGAGTGATTGGATTAATCCAATCCAATCCAATAACATTAGAATGACAATCTTCACATTGTTCACTTCCAAAGAACTGGAAATATTCCCAGCAGCTTTAAGCATTAAGTGTTTGGGAACAACTAACTATTCTGCCACAAGTTTGTTAGAGTAATATGATTTGATGCGACATCCTTTGCAATGCAGGCAATGATTCATAGCCTCACGAATAGCTGCCACTGTAATCTACTGTATTTTGAGATGTAAAGATGCATACATTAATGCCTTTGACAGATTTAAAAAATCTGAGCAATTAATTAATGCATTAGGTAAATAACTGCTTTCCAAATGTTTCAAATGCTAATTCCCATCAGCCGATGCATCCAGCATGGCTGACAACAAAGGTTCTTGGGAATTGTAGTTGTTATTTCCAGAGGCATTGGATTGCTTACTTCATTGTTTCTCCAAGCTAGGCAATTTCAGATGTGTGGAGCAGCACGGCTGTTGCTGAGATCAGGTAGCTGAAGTCTACACCCTTTGGAGTTACCAAGCTTCAAAGGCACTGGTCTCAACTACTTGTGATAAAATAAGCTTGCTGGCAAATTATATCAATGCTTGTTAAACAGAAGAAGCCTTTCTCTGAAATTTTCAGTGAAATTTTCTCCCAGATATACAGCTTGGGACTCGTCACACACACACACACTGGATAAGCTCATTGATGCATGTAATAGTGAAAGGGGTCTGGATATTTACCTCTGTGTCAATAAATTTGACCCTTTCCAGAAGCTTTGCTTTCATTGCAACCTCTCAATATAATATCCTCAACACAAACTAGTCAATCATGTTTTAATTTAAGTGTATTCTGTTTAGCCTATAGAGCAAACAGATCTGGACTACAAATATATATAAGGCCAATAGATGGCAGTAAATCATTTTTAGAGTTTTTTCTGAATCTCTATGGAGCCTTCTAGTGGGTATACAGAGCTTCACAGCCTGGATCAGCTCTATCTGCTTCCCTCCATCGAAAAATGACTACTTTCCAGCACTTGGTCATTAAAATAAGCTTAGATGGTACAATATCAATGGAAAATGTTTTGAAACCTTCTTGGTAGTCATCTGCATACTGAGTATGTAAAGTATTGAAACTCCAGTGAACTTCATTAGAAGTTGCACACCCAAAATGGAGTAACTTTACTTGCTCTACCTAATGTCCCAGCAACTCCCAGCAGGCAGACCCCAACACATGCCCAGAGTTACTTTAGCTCTTGGGCCCAAAGTGGTTTACCACATTTGTTACACAGAGCATTGATTTCCCTAGATATAAAATGTAATATCTTGAGTTGGAAAAAAAAGATAGAGGAGAATTAGTACAGTGACTCTATAAAAAGAGATTTTAATTATGGAGTAGGTGCATTTAAATTGCACACACAATCCACACAGTATTCAGTTCTATCTATGTAATCATCTTTAAAACATTGTTTTTTTAAATTAAACTTGAAAAGACTATGCTGCCTGAAAATAAATTTCTAGAAAATGTCTTTTATCAGCTATAATCAGGTTTTCAAGCTTTGGTACTGATAAATGATTTTAAATACTTTTAGTGCCTTTTAGAGAGCTCTGTTGTACCTCTAAGGCAGTCATTCTCAACCTGGCACCTTCTTGAAATGTCGGGAATTAAATTCCCATGCTTTCTGGGGATTCTGGAAGATGAAGATCCAGCACTTCTAGAAAGCACTAGAATAGGAAGGCTGTTCTAGAAGGATAATGATCCTTCTAGCCCAGTTCTTAAGACCTTGCTACTCCTCAGAATACTTCATACATGCTGACACCACTAGAAACTCAAGTGTTGTAATTTCTGAAGTACAGATCACATTCTGGGAGAGACCCCAGGTGGGAAGATGGAATTTAACAGCTGGAATTAATGTTTCATTGCCTGGACTCTACAGACTTCATAGATCAGTTCCTCTTCCTTTGGACCCTACTTTTAGAAGTGGTCATCATCAAGGAGGGTGGCTTCATGGTTATATAAGAATATCCCATAATGTTTGCTCATAGTCCTAGTCATTGGGACAGATGACTGGCGAGAGTACTATTCAATCCTGTCATTTCATTTATGAAATGCCTTCAGTGAGGTTTTACCTGATGTCAACTTGAAAATGAGTTGGAATCCCACAAATAATGTTTCATTCATTCAGTTATTTCAGGGTGGATTTTCTTTTCTTAATCCTGTGGGAATCACATGTTGTTAATTTAGTGCATGCCAAATTGGGAAATTTTCAATAGACAAGACTCCTCCAGATGCTGCTTCTAACAATTACCCATGCCAAATGAATCTGTAAGGTACTTCACTGAGGCAAATCAAAGCCACTTTACACAACTATGCCTATAATGGATGCTTTAGAATATCTTTACATATGCTGGGATCTCTTGACTGGGAAATTTTGGGGACTGTAGCCTAAAGTCATGAAGAAATCAGCAGGTAGAGAAGGCTGAGAAGAGCAGGCACAGCCTCTTACTATCTGAGCACTTTTCTCCTATCAATTTTGCTGGACAATTATCCAGTGAATATGGTATGCCACTGAATATGGTATACCAATATGGTGTGCTATATTTGCAATTATAATGCTGTTATTTTTTATATGGATGCCATTTTACTTTATGATAGATTATTTAGTTTATTATAGCTCTTATTTGGTGGCACATTGGTTAGAATGCAATATTACAGGATGATTCTGCTGACTGTCAGTAGTTCAATCCTGATGGTGCTCAAGATTGACTCAGGCTTCCATCCTTCCAAGGTTCTATCCTTCCATTCCCCCAGATTGTTGGGAG